AGAAGCAAACATAAAGCTCAACGCACACGCACACACACACACACACACACATACACACAGACTGTTCAGTTTGAAGTGACATCCATTCATAACCACAGTGATTCCTCTGCACACATCATTGTAGCGAAGCGTCCTGTTGGCATCATGACAGAGCCTGAGGAGAGATCTTCAGAAACATAAAAGCACAGATGCTGAAAGAAATCGCACGACCTCGTTGAGAAAATGATCAAAGACGTAGTAAAGATGTGTACGACACAAATACATCCCGACAATGACACATAAACGACTGGCGGCTTCTCATTAGCATGCAGAAACAACTCCTGTTTTATCCTCGACTGTCGGCTGAGAGTCAAAATGAAAAGCTCAAGTATCCTCACGCCTGAGTGGCATTTCAATGGCCGAGAGCTCGATTGGCTCGTTAGCACCTTCCAAACACAGAGCCCAATTAAGTTTTGAATTACAGAGATGACTCGTTGACTCGCTTCTGACACGTGAGGAACTCTGCTCGTTTCTACACGTCGTCTGGAGCTACAGCGTTTCTGCGGAGCTGCTCAGGATCATGTGGTTCATAACCAGGAGAATGTTTACCTGCAGACTCGCCTGCAGCCGAAGCTTGAAACTGAAGAGCAAACCGTTTGGGTGTTCGGCTAACTAAATGCTAGCTAAAAGCTAGAAGTAGAAAAACAGTAGGTTAAAGTTGTAAAATGCTGGTTAAAAGATAAAAATACTAAAACATCAGGTAAAAGTAACTTATTTCTTGTTCTTCTTTAGGCTTTTCCCTCTTCAGGGCTCTCCACAGCGTCCTCCTCTGTCCTCACTCCAACGACCTCCATGTCCTCTCTAACTGCATCCATTTATCTCCTCTTTGTCTTTTTCCTGGCAGCTGCATTTCTAACATCCTTCTACCAACATATCCACTGTCCCTCCTCTGGACATGTCCAAACCACTGTCCCTCCTCTGGACATGTCCAAACCACTGTCCCTCCTCCTACTACTTCACAGTTTTTGCACTTATCATGGGTGGGCATGGTTCCAAACACCCACGATAAACAAGGGACTACTGTACCTCTGATTATCTCATTCCTAATCTTTTCCATCCTTGTCACTCCTAAGGAGAACCTCAACATCTTCATTTCTGCTACTTCCAGTTCTGTCTCCTGTCTTTTTGTCCATGTCTCTGTCTCCAGACCATACACCATAGCTGGTCTCACCACTATCTTGTAAACTTTCCTTTGACCTTTGCTGACACTCTTTGTCACAAATCACTCCTGAAACTTTTCTCCATCACTCCATCCTGCCTGGACTCTCTTTTGCACCTATTTACCACATTCCCCATGTTCCTGGACAGTGGACCCCAAGTCCTTGAAGTCCTGCACCTTTGTGACCTCTGCTCCTTGTAGCCTCACTGTTCCACCTCCTCCCTCTCATTCGCACACATGGACTCTGTCTTACTATGACTGACTTTCATTCCTCTTCTTTCAACTACATACCTCCACCTCTCCAAGTTCTCTTCCACCTGTTTCCTGTTCTCACCACAGATCACGTCGTCTGCAAACATCATAGTCCACAGGGATTCTTGCCTGACCTCATCTGTTAGTTGGTCCATCACCAGAGCAAACAAGAAGGGGCTCAGAGCCGATCCTTGATGCAATCCCACCTCCACCTTGAAGCTATCTGTCACTCCTACAGCACATCTCACCACTGTCCTGCTGTCCTCATACATGTCCTGTACCAGTCTAACATGTCTTGCTGTCAACCTGTCATGTGCTTTTTCTAAATCCACAAACAGAATGAAGTTCTTTCTGACCCTCTCTGTACTTCTCCATCAGCATCCTCAAAGCAAAGATGGCTTCTGTGTAGCATAACCACTGACAACATTTAGCATCAGACCTTCGACTTCTTACCTTCAGACACATCACCTTATCTGACACTCTTTTCACCTCTACTACATTCTTTACCAATTCCTCCTTTAGGACCACCCCTTCTCCATTTCTCTTTCTATCCACACCATGGTAAAACAGTTTGAACCCTGCTCCAATGCTGCGAGCCTTGCTGCCCTTCCACTTGGTCTCTTGGACACATAAAACATCTACCTTCCTTCTCAGCATAATGTCAGCCAGCTCTCTACCTTTGCCTATCATTGTCCCCACATTTAGAGTGTCCACCCTCAGTCCTACATTCTTCACGTTCTTCTTCTCCCTCTGTCTCCTGACACGTTTCCCTCCTTGTGGTCTTTGACTAGCTTAATGCTAACTAAAAGTAGCCAAACACCTATTAAATGCCAGTTAAATTAAAAAAAGTTAGCTTTGAACTAAAATTTGAATTCCTAGAATTAGCATTAGCGTCATTAGCATTGGTAGAATTAGCATTAGCTTTAGCAGCGCTAGCAAAAGTACACAGAAGCATCTTACAAAGAGAACAATGTTTTAAACAGGTTTAGGAGATATCTGCATTTCTGTGAGGAAATTTATGAATAAAGTTAATTAATAATAAAATAAAGTTTAAAGCACTTACAGCACCCCCATCCTGACTGAAATGAACTTGATACATGAATTAAATAGTACAAAGTACATAGAAGTAATTAGATGTACAAGAAACAGCATAACAATGTTAAGAATGCAGAATCAAGCAGACATTTAGTCCTTCTTGGGGATTTTCATGCATTTCTTTTCAGGAATGTAAACTATTATGGGCATGTCGATGCTATCGGCTGACAAATGCTAAAAAATATCTTCAGCCACGAGACAAGGCCACAAGTCCAGGCTGGCGCTCGTTTAAGACTCAGAAACTGATCTGACATAGTTCCTGGTCTTCAGTAGATCTGGTTTGGTGTTCAGTTCTTTGTCTTCATGTTTGTTTTGTGGTAAATATTCCTCAGATTTTTTTATTTTAAATCAGGGAACAGATTTTTACATCAGGTGTCCATCTTTTATTTTCTCTTCCATTTTTTTCTACAGAGAGGAGAAACAGAACCGAAGATACTCCCACTCCCACCATCAGATTCTCCAGTCCAGGTCCACCATCTGCCCGAATCACCCCACCCCCGGCCCCTGCCGACTCCAGGGCTGTCCGACTGTTCCTCACCGGGTTCTTCTCGAAGGTTCTTCCAAACAGGTTCTGGACAGCTCCATAATCCTGGCGGCCGTGGACCTTCATGCGTCTCTTAACGGCAGAGTCCACTCATACCTCCACCCACCACACCACCACCTCCACTATGAGCTGTGAGCAGGAGTTTGGAGACGGGGCCATGGGGGCCGTAGGGGTCACACTGACACTGCGCCTCCTCATGCACGGAAAGGTGAGGTGTGCACGGACGCTGAGTCAGAGTCAATGTTTTCCTGTTTTTTACTTCTCACAGATGTTGGACTCAAACTTCTGCATATTTTGTGTTTTGTCTAACATCAGCTTCAGCTGCTAGCTCTGCTGTTTTCTTCTGATGCTAATTATAGCTTTCAGCCAACATTTAGCTTCTTTAGCTTTTAGCTCAATTTTAGCTATGTTTCTGCTTCTTATAATTTTTTAGTTGTCGCTCTCCTTTCAGTTTTGAGCTTGATTTATGCTAATTTTAGCTTTAGTCACCGTTTTGCTGATTTGAGCTTCTGTTTTTTTGTTTCTTTATTCTTGATTTTGCATCGATTAATTGTTTATGGGTTAACGATTCAGCTGAAACTCTGTTCAGAACGCCTGGTTCTTCTCAGTCCCACATCAAAACGGTCGACTCAGATGTTTTCAATCATCGTCAGCCTCGTCTGCAGGAATGAACAGAACAGGCGCTGCAAGACGAGCCGCAAGAGTGGGCACAGCTCCCTTCACTCCACGGGAGAACCCAGTTTAGAGACCGCAGTGGTTCAGATGGAGGTTCTGGAGCTAATGGCAACAACTTAAAAACATCTGAGCAGTTTGTGAGGCAGCGTGGACGAGAATCTGACGTACGTCCTCGTGTCTCGAGGAAGAGTCCACGCTCGTCAGGTTCGGGGTTCATCAGGACATGATTTAAATCTCACCTCCAGTCGACATAAAGACAAAACAGATCATTATTAATTCAACAAAAACAACCATCTCTGTTAGCAACTGGAGACAAACTGATACAGGCGTCATTTCATTTCTCCCAGTGGGCCATGAATTCGCTGCGTGCTTCCAGATCATTAGTTCATTGAAATGTTTATTGTCATGTAAACAAACGTTCCTCTGCCGTGTTGTCGTCCTGCTCAGCAGGAAGCAGAGAAAGAGAATTGTTTCTGATTGGCTGTTTGTTTTCCTCCACAGGAAGTTGGGAGCATCATTGGGAAGGTGAGTCTTGTTCTTTATTCAGAGAACGAGTTGTGATCGTCACGTCGATCATCTCAATTTTAGTAGAACATCTTTAAAGCATGGTGGTAACTTTGAGTGTTTTTCCACAGAAAGGAGAAACTGTGAAGAGAATACGAGAAGAGGTAAGACACCGCCCCCCCATCCATGACCATCCTTCACTGCATGCATCCAACGACAGCAGGATGTGAGATGTGTTGGACGTATGAGCAGCTTCATCTTCAATCTCTGAGCACACAGACTTTCAGAGCTCAGCTGAAACATCTGCAGGTGTTCTGCTGGCAGTTCAACACGCAGAACGTTCAGCTCCACGTTCTGTCACAGCTTCTTCAAATGGTGAGAAAACAAAGCCAAGAGGTTTGTTCCCTGAGGAGCAGATCTCCTCTGCCTCCTTGTGTCTTCGAGGAAATGTGAAAACCGATTCAGAGAGACAGGCAGAAGAAGCGAGGTGGCTCGTCAGACAGCCAGGTGGAGTTAGACACGATGGAAGGAGAAATAAGGAGCTTGTGGTGCAGCATCTGAAAGACCCGACACTCTGAATCTGTGTTAAACGTTGCACTGAAGAAGTGCTGAGTAATCCTCATGTTCTGCAGGAAGATCTCAGCCGGGCTTTGAGAGAAACTGACAGGAGATCAGTTTGTTGTGACCGTCCCGTCTCATCGAGGACAGATGGACGTTGGTCAAACCAAACTGAGAGCTGGCCTTCGTCTTCTGACGTTCATGTCCGGAAGCAGCAGGGTAACTTCAGAACTGTCCAAACGCTGGCGTGTAGCATGCACATTCACTCTGTAACCGCAGCGTCACGCCTTCAGCGCATGTGAGTCCCTTCAGGACTGTAGACAGTGCACGCCGGAGTCTGAAGGCATCACGTTTAAATCATGTCAACAGGCAAACCTGCAGAAGAGCGCAGCCTTACGGAGCGCAGCCTTACGGAGCGCAGCGAGACACCGACAGATGTTTTTCTGCTTTATAATTCAGAGAACGTGTTCGTTAAATAAACACTCCTTCATCCGTTAATTTCATTCACCCGCTTTTCTGTGCACGGTCTTGGGAAGCTGGTGTCCATCTCCAGCAGTCAGTGAGAGAGAGGCGGGGCCTGGGCAGGTCTCCAGTTCATCACCAGGACACTTGGACAGGTCTCCAGTCCATCACCGGGACACATTGACAAACGAGACAACACTCACGTGCACAGGGAGAACCTACAAATTAAACGATCTGACGGTCTTTAGTGAAAAACGGTCCATTCCTGGACGTTGTGTTTGTATATTTTATCAGAGCTGCTGTTTTTGCAGCGTCGGACCACTCGGTTGGTTTTTGTTGCTCTGGCATTTAGAAATCCCTCCATCCTCCAGCAGAAGGTGAAAATCTGCACCGACCAGCTCCGTGTTCAGTCAGGCGTCTGGCAAAAGGCAGAGATTTTCCTGTTGACCCCCTTCCTCACTGACTGGGGCTTTATTTCTCGCTGAGTTGTTAAACTATCAAAGAAAATTGACTAAAACTAGATTTTGATTTGAAAAACCTGCCAACGTGGACACGGCCTCCCCGTGTTGTTTTCCACGGTGTTTGCTGGAGCAGCACCTCTTCTGCTGGCAGGACTCTGATCTGCAGTCAGGCTGCAGCTGCAGCTGGATAGACGCTTAACGCAGACGATCGATAACCTCAGATTCATCTCGGTGAGAGCAGAGCTCAGTCTCAGCAGTGTCTTCTGAACACCTGATGAGAATACCAGAGTTTAACATCAGAGAGCAAAGACTGACATTATCCATCCAAAAGATCAAAATCCACAGAAATAAATTAATCTATCACATAAAACTGTTTCTGAAACTGTTCTGCACAGAGCTAAATACCAAATGTGTTTTGACAGATGGCTTCATAAATGTTCACTACATTATGGTTTAACATTTGAAGGAAGCAATCCTCTAGGTTTTAAATGATGTAAAAGTGTAAAATATTAACAAGTCAGGACTATACTGAGGAGCCTGGCAGTGCAAAAGGTTAACTTCTAACCAGCTACAGAAGACAGTGGTAACCTCTGGAGAGGAGGAAACGGGAATGACATGTTCCGTTGGCGCTTCGCTGCAGAGCTGAAAATACTCAGAGGAGAACAAAACAAACTGTGTCACAACAATCTAAACAAGAGGAAATAAAATCAACAGTAAAACCATCCATCATCCATTCATCATCCATTCTTCATCCATCCATTCATCATCCATCCATCCGTCCATCATCCATACATTATCTTCCACTTGTTCTGAAGTCGGGTCTTGGGGCAGCATCTTGAGCAGGGAGGTCCAGACATCTCTTCCAGCACTTCTGGGGGGAATCTAAGGTGTTTCCAGGCTAACCCAGAGACACTCCAGCATGTCCTGGGTCTTTCTCTGGGGTCTCCTCCCAGTCAGACATACACAAACCACCTCAACTGGCTCCTCTCAATGTGGAGGAGCAGTGGTTCAACTCCGAGTCTCTCCTGATAACTGAACTTCTCACCCTATCTCTAAGGAAGAGTCCAGCTACCCTGCCGAGGAAACTCATTTCAACCTCCTGGATCCACAATCTCATTCTTTCAGTCACTGCCCAGAGCTCATGACCATAGTTGAGGGGAGGAACATAGAACGACTGGTAAACAAAGTTTTTGACTTACAGCTCAGCTCCCTCTTCACCACAATGGACCGATACAGAGTCCGCAATACTGCAGACGCTGCACCAATCCGTCTGTCGATCTCACGCACATGTGACCGCATGGTTATAATAATCATTTAAAAAAATGGCCAAAATCTGCTTCAGTTCAGTTCAAAGCTGTGCTCCAGTAGATGGAATCACCAACATGTGGAGACCTGGGACAGACGTCTTCTTTTGGTGCCCTGCAAGTCGCACACAAAGCAAAGCTGCAAAGGTACAACTTGGCCTGGAAACATTTTGTGCAAATCTCAAAAAGCAGACTGGACAGGTAAAATCTTCTGAGTGGACCATCGAGGAGCTGGAGGACATCAGCGAGGATGGAGATGGTTTACTTTCTGGATTATTAGCACACATAGCTCAAGTAGAGGCTTTAAACACATGTTGCATTAAAAATGGTAAAAAAATAAAAAAGAACCAAAACCTTTGAACATGTTTTTGCTTTTTGGAGGATTGGCAGAGAAAACAGAATCAGGTTGTCTCAAAATAACAGGAAACCAACAGGAAACATGAATATTTAAATAGAGATTTACTTCTCAAGGACAAAAACACACAAGATATAAAGCCACTGCATTTTTGATTGAACCTGCTTCTTCTCAGTTGTTGCATATTCAAACTGAAGCGTCAAACAGACACAACACGGTTCACTTCTTCAGGGGAATTTACAGAAAATCTGCCGTTCGTGGCTCCAGTTGGACAATATTCACAGTTTTCTAATTAAATCCATACAGAGAGGACCTGTCAGAGCTCCACACAAACACAGCGTGCACCTCTGCACACACACACACACACACACACACTTGACAGCATGACTCCCTAATAAAGCAGAGCCGAGTAATCTAGTTGGACGACATGGACGTCCATCCGTCCTGCTCTCCATATGAAGAGTAATGAAGACAAGCAGCCAACGCTGAAACAGCAAGACCACACGCTGCTCACATCACAGCCGCATGAGGGAGTGGAGACAGCGGGGGGAGGATGGAAACAACTCCCCCCTCCCCCCAACATCTCACAGAGAGGCTGAACTGTTGGATGATAAATTTGTCTTCTTCATCTCAGCATCCACACTGCATTTCTCTGGTATCCACATTGTTTCTGTCCTCACGAGAGTGCTGTCAGGGAGTGACAGAGTGGTTACTATGGTAATCCTAATGAGCAGCTTTAACATTCTTTTTATTCTTGGTTCTCTTGAGTCTTCTACCGATTTTACAGCAAAATGTCGACCATTTTGTCTCCTTACATTATTCCAGAGGAAGTCCTGACTTCCTGTTGGGCTTTCAAAATAAAAGTTGGTGGCTGTGAAATCGAACTTGTTTTATTTAGAAGCACCTTCAGGGTGACAACACTCCTCACTAATGGTTTATCGTTTAACTCTACAGCTTCTTCTCACTCCCTCCATCCACTCCCGTACAGTTATTGCTGCTCCTTTTCTATATCTTCACCTTCTTTTATTTCTCCTCAAATATTTGCACTGCCTTTTCTCTCTCTCCTCCTGGTCCTCTCCCTAACTCTCCTGTCTTCCTCCTCCTCCTCGTTTAATAAATTTATCCTCGCCATTTCCTGGAATCACATCTTCATCTCCCCTCCCCCTCATTAAAGTCATCCTAATCTGTCTTGCACCAAATAATTCCCTCACTTTTCATTTTCTCTTCCTGCCTCCCCTGCTCCTCCCCCCTCCATCCTCCTCAGAAACGCCTCCTCCTTGTCCTCCATCACAGGTGAATCTCCTTCAGGGAGTGAGGACAGAGCTATGTGTCGTTCACCACCTCTTCTCAGCCCACCAAAACCTTCCTCCCACTAATGTGTTTTCTCCCCTCCCTGTTCCTCCCCCATTTCCCTCCTCCCTCTTACCCACGTTCACCTACACCTTCCTTTCCTGTCCCTCACTTAACCTTCCTCACTCCATTTCTTGTTTTTTTACCTCCCTGGTCCCCTCATTGTTCCCTACCTCCTCCTGAAAACAATAAATTCCCATAATGCCTCCCTTCTCCTTCCATTGCTCCATCTTCCCCCACCCAAAAAAACAGAGTAGCGCCAGGATCAACATCTCAGAGGGTTCCTGTCCCGAGAGGATCATAACCATCACAGGGCCGACGGACTGCGTGTTCAGAGCCTTCACCATGATCACCTTTAAACTGGAGGAGGTATACACACTGTACAGACACTGTTTACACACTGTACACACACTGTACACAAACTATACACACTGAACACACACTGTATACACACTGTACACACACTGTACACAAACTGTATACACACTGTACACACACTGTACACACACTGTACACACTCTGTATACACATTATACACACACTGTACACACAATGTATAAACACTGTACATACATTGTACACACACTGTATACACACTGCACACACTGTACACACACTATACACACT